CATGAGCTCAGCCCCCAGCCTCCTCGGCAGCAGCCTCCAGCAGTCCCAGCAGCAGCAGTGCCCCCAGGGGGGAGGGGACACATCCAAGGAACACCTGGACGCAAGTGCACAGTTAACATATTTACATTAAACAGGCTAGGTCATGCTCAGCAAGATTCCAAACATCTGAGGGAGCCTGACCATTTGTTTCATTTTCCCTATAGTACCTCTTTTTCAAGGAATTTATTCTAAGGGTGGCTAAGTTGGGAGAGACTCTTCTAGTTGTTTCTGATCCCTTGGGTATGGAAGAAAGGAAAGAAATATTTATGCCATGGGGGAGAACAAAGTGGGAAAACATAAGCACCACCGAGTTGGTGACAGTGATGAGAAAAAGGACGCGCTCTCCAGGAGCTGCTCTTACTTGACAACCAGGTTGGACGATATAACCTCAGAACCCTCCTTTCTCCGTAGTCACGTTTATTGTCTCATCAGGACCCTTCCTAGTCCTGTGAGCCTTCTCCAAGATGCTGTGACTATGCTGGAGACATGTAGGGAAAATATAGGAAAATGGTCAGGGCCCCTCAGATGTTCAGAATCTTGCTGAGCATTTGATGTAAATACGCACGTGCGCCCAGGTGTTGCTTGGTTATTGTCTAATGTAATTGCACATGTGCATGCAGATTTCCTGGGTTATGGACTTAAGAATAAAGGATGAGTGGCTCTGATCCATGGCACCCCCTTTTGCCCCCCAGGATGCCCCCAGGGGGGGCCACGGAGAGGCTGCTGCTGCTAGATCTGCTGTAAGCTGCCACCACCGCTGCTGCTGAAGAAGCTGAGGCCTGAGTTCGTGTCGTCTGCCAAAAGCTCCGGGATCTTTTCCCAGTTATCTAGTGTGGATGTGCACGTGAGGGGTCTGTGACCCAGTCTTTACAATGGGTTTGAAGGGTCTGTGGGCCCTGGCCCCTAGCCCTGACAATACCAATGGAAATATTAGTGTAACTAAAGTAATGAAACATTTTGGCTTTAGTTATGAATTACCTAGCCATACAATTGGTGTGGTCACTTAGCAATGCAATTGGCTACACTGGCAGGATTCTGACAATGGCCCTGACCCGACAAGACATCATCCACATATGTCTACCCACTCGTCCCTTTGTGTAAAAACGCAATAATGGTTTGCTTCAGTTGCAGTGCCCTTCTGGTAAGGTCTGGGTTTTTTTTTTTTTTGGCCTTTTTATCTGCAACAGCACATTAAGGGAGTGGTCTTAATGGTAGAACACTAGCTCTTGTAGCTATATAGGTCTCTGTGTGTGTGGGGGTGGGGGGGTGCACGTGCACGCACTGAGCCTGTCCTTGGCAGACCCTGGATCTCTAGCACTTTCTGGTCATGGCTGTGAACAGCACAAAAACACTCTCACAAAATATCCCCAAAGAAGACCATAACATGTGGAAATCTTCACTGTGTCCCAAATGAAGCTAGCATTTGAGGTGGCCATGCCATCTCCATCTGCATCCATTTGACCATCCACTGAACGTGTCATTGGCTATTCTTGACCTGTTGAAGAATAAAGACTAATGTACCAACCTTCAAAGAAATTTGTGACTTGAATGTCCGGAACACAGAACCCTAGACCCCCTATTCTGTGCAGAATTGACATTTCTCGATAGCATTATTATTGTTAGCAAAGCAGGGATTCTACTTTCCTAAGTGCTCCCCCCAAGGCAGCTCATCTGCCATTTTTCTGCTGGTTCTCAGCATTCTTGACATTTTACTCAATCAAAATCCATGTCCCGGGGCCGGCCCGGTGGCGCACTGCTATAGTGCGCCGCTTGGGAAGTGCGGTGGCGCTCCCACCGAGGGTTCGGATCCCACATGCAGACCGGCCGCTCACTGGCTGAGCGAGGGGCGGGAGCAACACCGAGGGTTGCGATCCCGTGGCCGGTCCCGGTCCAGTACGGGCGTGACACTGAGGGTTGCGATCCGTTGCCGGTCACCAAAAAAGACAAAAAGGAAAAAAAAATAAAAAATCCATGTCCCTTTCTACATCTAATAAAACTATCATCAGCCTCCCCAATCCCACCCCTGGCTTTACTGTCACCACTCAGAGGGTCTACACTTGGTGTGGAAGGAAAAGAAAAGGCACAGAATCTGTGCTGGGAGGCCATGGCCACTAAGAGGAAGCTTCCACACAAAATTGGGTAACTCTTCTCTACCCTCTTCTCCCTCCTCCCACCCCTACTTCTTGGGTAGATCACTTCTAATGATCTTGTCTAGGACAGTAAGTTTTTCCATGGTTGTCTCCTGCATGGACTCAACTTCTTCCCAGTCAGGGCTCTGAAGCCACACAGATTTACAACATTCCTTCCTGCCAGAAGCCCCACTGAGTGTCCTCTACAGCTGCCCCACTGTCTGAAGTGACTGCTAACTTGGCACTGTGTCCGTCTATCGGGATCTGTGCTGGAGTCCAGTCCCCACACTCCTAGATAATAAGCGTGTCCTCTTGGTCTATATATCTGCCCCTGTACAGAGCAGAATTTGGCACATATTAGGCTGTCAGGGAATGTTTACTGAATAAAGAATATAAGAAAAACAACATACAACATTTAAGCTTCTCAAAACACTTCTTAATTTTCTGTTTTCTTCCCACTAAGACCAAAGTTGTATGAACAGGTGTAAAATTCCCGATGATCAGGGTGTGAGGCATCGCTACGTGTGGTCCGAGTCCTTCCTGCTTTCCTTTCCATGTTTTTTTTTTTTGTCTTTTGTCTTTTTCCGTGTCCGGCAACGGATCGCAACCCTCAGTGTTGCCCCCGTAC